GTGACTGCTAGCTGACTTCAATGAGCCATATCGTAAGAAATTCTTTCGCCCTCTTAACTTCCCTCTCTTGACCACTGACTTTGCGTCGCCCCTGCCACTAGTCCCTCCGCCTCATTGCCTACCTGATTGCTTGTCCCTTAGAAATCTGCGAAGCCAGCCGATGACGAAACAGTCATGTCGTTGGTCACCTCTGTGCTTGGGTCGGGTAGCACGGAGGTGATCGGAGAATTCGCAGCGGGGATTGATGATGTCCTCAACACGATATTGCACTCGGATCAGTTTCGGGCGCAACTCGACCAATTCAACGGCGTCCAGAACACCTGCGAGGTCTGGCGCTCCGACCAATGGGGTTGCGTCCGGAATCTGATGGCCACCGAGCAGGCGGTGGTCGAAGAACGGAGTGCGATGGCTGTGGACGACGAAGCGGATATGGATGGCGTCACTTCACTCGAGGTTACCTCGGTCGGGACTCTCCCGACCGGGGTCGGCTCACCACCTGTGGACGTCGTCCCATCCGTGGAGATGGTCCCACTTGTGGATGTCGGCATCCCACCGGTGGGTGTCGTTGCGCCAGTTGAGGTTACCCCGGTCGGGACTATCCCGGTCGGGGTCGCCTCTGCTCTGGACAGCGGCATCCCACGTGCGGATGTCGTTGCCCCGGTTGAGGACTGCCCCGCTGCGGAGCTGGCTACCCCCGCTGGACGCACCCCCACTGTGGCCGAAGTCGTCCAGGCGGTCCGCCGAGCGCAGATCGTGGCCCAGGCCAATGCGGAATTGGAGCGTTTGACGAGCAGCAAGTGCCCCACTGGCTTGAGCGCTATAGCAGCGGTCAAGCTGGGGGCCAAAATTGCTGCTCTGAAGCGGTCCATAGCTGTCAACACGACTCCGGGACTCAGGACCTCCTCCAGGCGAGTGACTTTGCCGCAGCCGACCACTACATCGTCGATTACCGACTCGACTGTGCCGTCTACCACAGCGCATGCGACCACACCCAAGCTGGTAGCACCAAAGGTTGCAGCAAAGCCCCGCGCTGTTGTTGCACCTGTGGTGCAGCGCCAGCCTGCCACCAAACGTGTGCCTGTGGCCGGGCGGCCGGGTGTGGCGAAGCACGAGCCTGCGACGAAGGCATGTCCACCCGGAGGGAAGTTCTTGGGCAAAATGGAGCGGCTTGTGCAGTGGGAGAAGAAGCTGGGGAGCAAACCGTTGCTTCCTTCGACCGCGCCGGTGGTGGAGCGACAGACGTGTGTGGTGGTGAGCAATCGCCTCTGCCACGTCTTGTCCGAAGCCGTCACGGAGCAAGTCCCGCTTTCCAAGAACTTCGTCGTGCGGGCAGTGCTCACATTGACCGACGAGGGCCCGGGGGAGCCAGTTAGACGAACTAAGGTGCGCTCTTCATTCGCCGTGGAGTGGCTGAAGCCTTCTTGGTTACAAAAGAAGGTGGAAGCCAAGTTCATGAGCGGATGGAGGCGTAACCTCGGCACGGTGAAAGAATCCATTACCAACGCAATGGCCTAGGGCTTCTGTTCTGGGTCATTGCCACACCAGTATCTTTCACTGTGTCGAAGATGTTTTTCCACCCGACCACAACCTACGTTGCACGACCAACAGCCACAAGACTCTCGGGGACGGGGTCTTTCCACTGGAGGATAAGAGTTGCTACCCACATGTAGAGACAGAAGGGTCTTCCTACTGATCTAAAAGGATCCAGCCACAGTTCCAGTTACACGCCATGTCCAGCTTGCGACCTTCACTACGACTTACTCCCATGGCCGGCTTCTTCGCATTACCGGCCCGCACATTTATCTGGTCGCATGCGCGAAGAAAATGTGCCAGATCACGACGTGACTGCTAGCTGACTTCAATGAGCCATATCGTAAGAAATTCTTTCGCCCTCTTAACTTCCCTCTCTTGACCACTGACTTTGCGTCGCCCCTGCCACTAGTCCCTCCGCCTCATTGCCTACCTGATTGCTTGTCCCTTAGAAATCTGCGAAGCCAGCCGATGACGAAACAGTCATGTCGTTGGTCACCTCTGTGCTTGGGTCGGGTAGCACGGAGGTGATCGGAGAATTCGCAGCGGGGATGGATGATGTCCTCAACACGA